GACAATCTGGTTAAAACAGAAGTGCCCCATCTGAAAGCTTGCCTGAGTCTGGAGAGTCTCACATCAACGACTTGCCTCACAGTCTCCAGAGAGATCACGAGAACAATTTATCGGGATCTGACATGAACGTAACATCTAGAGAGCTTTACCAATCAGTTGTCCCTGTTTAAATACAGGGATAATTATTGCACACTTCCATTCTCCTGCAAAGATTTCAGGCCCATATTTTGTGAAAAGGGGATGCAGCTTTTGTCATTCCTGCTTCTCCATTTATATTAACTTCTGAGGTGAAATGCATGCCACAGGTCTTATTCACCCTGATATTAATAAACGTTGTAGAACAGTTCTTTTGTGGGTGAATCTGCAGTAACTAAGGGTAATCTGCAAAACGACCAGTAAATCTGCAGAAAAGCTGCTGAGCAACTGTTGGAAGTTTGATCCTGTCTTATGCGTTTTTCCTGGCGTAGTAACGGTACACTATTAGTATCTTCGATACGTACCTAATAAATGTCACAATTATCGCACTCCTTAGTACTCATCGTTCGCCAGTCAGACTGTACATTCTTATCACCGCAATAACCAACAGATAAAATATCTTAACACCTGCAGTGTATGAATGCGAATACCATGGAGCCATGACCTGCTTAAACTGTCCCTTAGGCCGCGAGAAGCAAGGGGACGGCACCTCTACGCCATTAAATCGGTAGTAACAGAAGATATATACAGGTGACAAATTTAGCATGGCATAAAAAGATATTGGCAGATGCTTCCTGGAAACACTTCATGCGGCCCTGTCTGAGAACAGGAATATGGATTCTGTAGCAGCAGCGAACGTTGCCTAATATTAATGATACCACCTCTACCGATCAGGGATCCTAAATCTGGGATACGCTACTATTACAGCTTTGTTAGCCCTATATAACGAGGACAACATTAGCAAAAGAACATCACTCTAAGCAACAGTGATGTCATATTCATGCGCACCGAAAGAGTTCAAATACCGTGGAATTGTATGCTTTGCCTTGGCATCTAGAAGCAAAAGGGACAATATAAGGCAAAACCTGGCTCCGGAAGATTTGAACAATTATTACCTTTGCTTCTAGAAAGAACACAGCGGTGCTGTCATAAGTTTGGAAATACCTGACAACATCAAGAACGGGAAAATTTTGCATAACAATATAAAATGTAAGAATTTCTAATAACAGTGGATTAAGAAAATTTATTGCACATTTCTAAGATGCTACCTTAAGCAGGTCTAAAATTATTAATCTGGGCAATTCTGTCACGCAAAATTTGTAATCTTAGATGATGACGACAACTACAAATTAATAACCATAATTAGATATAAAGGGCGATAGGAATCATCGAAATTAAATAAAAAACAAATTCATACAATGAAGCAACGATACAGTAACTTATCACTGTTTTTAACTGTGATTTTCAATGCTTTTTCGAAAGTCAAGAAAAACGGAAGTCTGTCGACATGTGGGATGTCATCCGTCTTTATAATTTCATGATCTGAAGCTATTTACGGCATCCTTTGTTCCTGACGTTAATAAC